TTTTTTTTTCTATATATGTTCAATTTGATGACCTTTGTTATCATACAATGTTTACAATGTTTAGACCTGGACATCAAGGCTTAGTTTATAAGTTCTTGAAGGATGTTCCTCCATATATCTTTTACATTGTTGAATAAATCCTGTAACCAATACCATGATAGATTTTGGAAAATTTTTCTTTTTATGATAATGTACTCTTAGTGCTTTTTGATATTTAATTATGTAAATATGTTTTGATTTTCGATCACAATCAGTAAAGTAGAATAGTTTTTGATCAGATGTAACATTTTTTTTTCCATTTAATCTTAATAAATCCATAAATTTTTCTGATTTTGAAAGCTTCTCTCAGTTGCTCAAGGTGATAATGCACGTAAACATCCTTTTGAAACTTTTTTTTAAATTGAACATTTTATCAATGTAACATTTAATTGACTTTCTCGATATCTTAAGCTTTTCTAGATAACTCAGAGTTAATTGGTGGTTTGTCTTTTTATTAATAAGTTTTTCATATGAAAAAGTTAACATAAATTTAGCTTTAATGGTCAATACCAACGTTCAACTTTTTTGCCATTTAAATGATCTTTTCTTTTAATTCTCACCACGTTATTTTTAACTCTACTAATGGTGGTTATTAAAACTTTGATTGATTCTTTTTTTTAAAAATTTCTTAATCATTCTATACAAATATCCAAGTTGTACCAACAATAAAATACTTTCTTTAAATTTTTTTTGCTTTTTTTTTTTGTCAAAATGCTTTGTTTGCATAAATCTTTTTTTTTTTTTATTTGTTAACTACTTTAAACATGTTATTAAATTTTAAATAATATCGTTAAGTATTGTTTAGACAAAAGTAATCAAGTTTCAAAAGTGTTTCCATTTCAATGACACAAGACTGTATATGAATTAATTAAATTTAGTCATCAGTAATGACTGAATATTGTAAGGTAAACATTTTGTACGTTAGTTTTTATAAATATTTAGTTTAAAATATTACCAAATTACATTAATCATTATGAATATTTTTTCTTTTTTTATATAGCTGATGCATTTGGATTTTTTTAGATTAGACAGATAAAGAGCAAAATGGCGAATAACAGCAAATTCTTGTCAAGAAGATAAAACACATCAATTTATGACATTAAAAGCTTTAAAAAAAATGACTGATAATTTACCATATTTTACTTCACCAAGTAAATTACTAACTTTTGACTTTTCAGTAGATGATTTTGTTGCTGATCCAAATAAAAATCTAATCTCTGAAATAACATATGTTGAACAGATAGCTTTCACTCAATCAATAGAGACAGCAATAGCGATTTTTTTCATGAAAGAAATTTTGAACCTGAAGTAGCAGGTAAATCTAGGAAAAAGAAACAAAAAGCAGAACAAATGACTTCAAAAAGATTTAGGAATAAGAGTTTGAGAATGCTAGGTCATGAATACACAGGTTTTAGAAAGACTTGTGGGGAAAAATTTTTACAAGATGCTGTAAGACCAGCGTGAAAACTTGAAGAGGCTTGTAAGTCAAACAAATGCTTACAAAGTAATATGATTAACTGCAAAAAGTTTACAGAAAGTGTAAGATTGAATATTTTTAAAAAATTTTGGGAGATGAGCTGGATAGCCAAGAAAATCTACTAAAAGAAAAACTACTGAAAGGGCAAATACAAGGTAAAGTGTTACTAAAGTCTATTATTTAAAATTAGATAACAACAAAATGAGAGCATGTTTGAAGACGTTTTTAAGAACACTGGGTATTAAAGAGTGGACAGTTAGGTACTGGCTAGGAGAAAAATCTAATAGGGATACAACAACAAAACGTAATTATAATGCATGGCCTTGCCATTCTTTGAAAAAGTTAGTGCAAATATTTTATTGTATTTTAATTGTATCTAGAACCCATAATACAGTCTAAATGTGAGCTCTATTGTATCTATGTTAAAAATGCTACAAAAAAATGGACAGAGAGTGGCTTGCAGAAAACTTTTTGAAGATATTTTGAAAGATGAAAACATAGCTATGTTTCAACCAAAGAAAGATGCATGTGATCTATATTGTTCATATAAAACAGGAAATATTACAGAGCAAGAGTATCTACAACATGTATCACGAAAAGAATTAGCTAGACAGGAAAAATCTTTTGACAAAATAGCTGCGAAAAATGGAACAATTCACATTACCACTGCTGATTTACAAGCAGTGAAAATATGTCCATACTTGAAAGTCAGTGCATTGTATTTTAAAACAAAACTGATGGTTCATAATTTTACAATATACAATCTTGGCACTAATAAAGTAAAGTGTTATTGGTTTGATGAAACAACAACTGATTTAAAGGCATCAACTTACGCATCACTTTCTGTTGATTATTTAAATAAATTAATTTATGAATCCCCAAAAGATGTCGTAATTTTTACTGATGGATGTACATCACAAAATAGAAATGCCATTGTTTCGAACGCACTTCTGCAATTGGCAATGCAAAAAAAAGTAGTTATCACACAAAAATTTTTAGAAAAGGGTCATACTCAAATGGAGGTAGATTCAGTTCATTCGGTAATAGAAAGAAAGTTATAACACCATGAAATATTTTTATCTAGTCAATACTCTTTAGTTACCAAGGAAGCTAGATGCAATCCATCTCCATATGAGGTTGCAATGGTAGACCATACATTTTTTAAAGAATATAGTATTAAAAGCTACCTTATTTATAATACAATCCGTCCTGGAAGAGGTACTGGAGCAAAATGTGTGGTTGATATCAGAGTTCTAAAATACAATCCCAATGGTCCAATAAATTTCAAACTAAGTTACGATGAATAATTTAAACAATTACCACAAAGACCAAAAAAGGTTCAACCAGTGATACCACCACAACTCTTTACTGAAAGATTGCCAATCTCAAAATCAATATATGAACATTTACAACAGTTAAAAAGTGTTAAACCCAAGGATTGCCATGAATTTTATGACAACTTACCTTACAAAAATAATTTTCTTTTATTCTGTTAAACTATAACTGCAATAACAGTTGTTATTTTTTGAGTAGTTAAAACAGTTCTTATACTTTTTTGATGTTTCAGTTCTTTTTGTAATAATAATAGTACTTTTTTGTAATTTTAATGTTAATGAGTAACTTTTTGTTTAATTTGTGTTTTAATATTCTTGCCAATAAAATTTTTGAATAAAATGATGGATAAATGTCTATCTATGTTATATTTAATGATATAAATGTGATTTTTCATAAATTTTATATGCAGGGCCAACAACACCCGTTTCGAAGTGGGAGGGGGTGGGGGTGGAGCACAATCTTAATTTTTTGAAAAAAGTCATATATTCAGAATTTTCTTGAAAAAAAAAGAAGTGCAGAAAAAAAGTGGGGGCAAGTGCCCCTGGGTTCCCACTCTTCATCCTCCGGTGTCGTCGGCTCACATATGTTTTTTTTAAATCAGAACTATTTTAGGGGCTTTTGTTCAAAATGTTTTGTTTTTATTTGAGGCTCAAACATACCAACTGAAATGCAAAATTTTGTGCGAAACGCTATACAAATGAAACTAAGAAGATCTTAGGCCAATAAGACATAGTCATAAAAAAAAGTTCATTCTTATGATTATGATTAAAAACTAAAGAATAATATTAAACTCTAGTCTAAAAGTTAAGTCAAAAAAATTTTGCGCATTGATGTCGGTTTGTGGCAAAATAAACCTTTATGCGAGCATCGGAAATCGAAATGCGTAAATGATCTTGCAGGTTATTTTTATTTTTTTTAATTTAAATACACGATGTAAAAGTACTTACAGGATAAAGTTTGCTGATCAGAGTTTACTGTAAAATTTCACCTTTGCAATATTAAAACAACTATTAAACTATAAGTGTCAATTAGATAGTTGAAAGAAAATATAAGGAGTCTTACCGTTTGGTTTAACACTTTGTTTAAACGATGATCCTTTTCTAAAGATTTTGGCTTTTTCAAATTTAAAAGCAAAAGTTCCTATTTTAAATTTCACGTAAGCAGCACAAATGTAAAATAACCTATATCAGCATGGACCGGTTATATCTACAGTTTCCATGACAAAATGAAACATAAAATACAAAGAGTTTTAATAAACATGTGCATACTCACCGTCTCGGTTGCTTACGTTGAAGTGTTGATTATTTTAAAAAATTTAATAAGAAAATATTTTGGTATCACAAAATATTTTCAGACAAAATTTTGAAAGTAATAAACTATTTGGTGTACCCGATTGAGAAAAATGATTTTCAAAAAGATTTGGCGCAGGTTTTTTCCTCTCTTCTTGGTCCTCATTGTTTATTTTTCAGCTAATACCATTATAAAAAAGATAAAATTTGATTGATAGATTTCAAATTTCAATAATTATAGTTTTGGCGTTTCAAAAAATTAGCAGCCGTGGTGCAATGGTTAGAGCGCTGTCTTTAGAAGCAAGAAATCGAGCTCTATACATATTTTGCATCATTGGTATGCAAGGAAGGGTAAACTAACTACACCTTTTCTGGATCAATTTAAAAGGAATACGAATCAATTTAAAAGGAATACGAATCAATTTAAAAGAAATACGAATCAATTTAAAAGAAATACGAATCAATTTAAAAGAAATACGAATCAATTTAAAAGAAATACGAATCAATTTAAAAGAAATACGAATCAATTTAAAAGAAATACGAATTTAAATTGATTCGTATTTCTTTTAAATTGATTCGTATTTCTTTTAAATTGATTCGTATTTCTTTTAAATTGATTCGTATTCCTTTTAAATTGATTTGTATTCCTTTTAAATTGATTCGTATTCCTTTTAAATTGATCCAGAAAAGGTGTAGTTAAAGGCTTTTCCATAGTCTTCTGAACAAGACCATTAGGTTTTCTTGGGGTTAATCTAAAACTTATCTAAAACATGTTTTAAGTTCACTTTGCAGCATTTATACCTTACATTAAGATATAGTGTAATTCATGTAAAATATAAAGAATGGTATAATATAATACAACATTTGATATTAAGTGGCATAGTATAACATGCAACTATAATAACCTGAAATATTGTAATATGTTGTATGGTATAATATAAAACAACCTGTAATATTTTATAATATCATCTGTGGAAATATAACTGTAGATATATTTAACCTAATATAATCTGTAACTGTATAATACAGTCAGTAATATTAAATAGTGGAATATAATGTAAAATATAATTAAAAACTACTTGTTAAATCACAAATAAAAGATTTATATAAAATCTAATTTTGATGGTTCTCCAAGGTTTAATTTAAGCTCTGAATTTGAAGTTGCTATAGTTCCATATTGCTATGGTTGCTATGGTATACCAGCCGTTTGGTTAATGGCAGGAGTAAACTTAATTGTCGGAAAGCTTTTAATGCCTAAATCTAACCCTGATATACCCTACAGATGAAACTGCTATCGGAGGAATTTTAAATTATATTAAGTAAAATAAAAAACGGTATCCAATCAAAACAAGTGTAAACAACTACGTTTAGGTTTTTTTACAAATAAGCAATAATATATACTATCTCAAGTTTACATGATTTATCCCTTTGTTGTAAAAAATTTATGTATATTATTTATACACTTATAAGATTTTTAAATAAATTTTATAATAAAATAAAATGTATTTTGCATTTGATTATAATGCACGCACTGTCACGAGGATATATGTATGTTAAATACATGGGTATCTGTATAACATTTATTTATTTATGTATAAAAACAAATATATATGTACTTTAATACAAGTTACAAGCATACTCCCTGGTCGTCTCGGGAGTATGCTTGTAACCGACAATTAAAAAAAAAAAACAAGTTTCACTGGATAAAAAAACAACAAAATTCACTGAAATAATCTTTATTAAAACATTAAAAAATGAATCATTCTAGAGATATGTTGCAAGTTTTTAACCATTTGTAATTGCAATTATTCAACAAAAGGTTTAATAAAACTCGGTAATTAAATAGAACCACTTGATTTTAAAAGCATATGTTCTTTTCTTGCTTCAAGTCATAACACGACATTTGATAAAAATGACAACTAAAACAATTTTAAAAAAATCAAAAAAATTGTTTTCTAATTAACTAAAGTTTAAAGTTTTATAAGCTGTATATCATAATTCCGTTCATTCTTGTAGTACTCCATTCATTTAATATAAAGTTTATAAAAAAGTTGTTGGTTGCCGTTACGTTGCGCCATTTTTAATTTTTTTCTTGGATATTATTGGCGAACCTTCAAAATACTATATTTTTAAATTATTATAAACGTATCTATTTGCGTCAACGTATAAAGATTAAGCGTTTAAGTACAGTCTTGATGTCGTTTTTCTGATTGTTTACGAAACAAAAGGTTACAAGCATTGTCCCGAAGAACTTCAATGCGGTTGAACTTCCATCTGTATTATACTTCCAAACTACCCGTTATTTTACGGAAAAACCCATCGTATGAAAACGGAAGTTATTTCCGTTAAAATACAGCGGGTTTTTTCCGTTAAACAACCGGTTGTTTGGTCATCGGCAGCTGCCGGAACTTTTATATAATATTTATATAATCCGTTTATTTTAACATAAATAAACGGATAACGACGTTTAAATTAAACAAACTTTTCCCGTTAAACAACGGAAAGGCAACTCAGCTGCCGGATAGTTTCCGTAAATAAAAGTAAAATTTTCGTAAATAAAAAGCAAATCTTATATCGTCGGGGATAGCGCAAATCCGCGGATCTACTACAGGTAGGAAGCGCGTATCTGCATTGCAGATAGTTTTACAGGAGAAAGTTAAAACTGTTTATTTTTTTTATCTAAACAGATTTTAAGCTCATTTTGGCATAAAGAGTTTTATTAATGTTTTTTTTTTTAAAATCAATAATAGCTATTAAGTGTTATAGTTAATAATTTAGTCGCTAGAACACTTACGCGGATTTGATTTAAACACAAATTCACCACAATGTTACCCCATATAGTAAGTTATGCGGTATCGAAATCAAACTAGTAATATTACTAATTAATAATATATGACAATCAAACTATAATATGAATTGTAATATCTGTTTAAAGCCTTATATCTTACAAGCTTAATAATAATGATAAAAAAAAAATATTCTCAAAATATAAATTTAATAGTACAACAACATTTCAATAACAGTTTGCTTCAATCTTACCTCTAACTCAGCCTGTACAGTTTTTTCAATTACCTTATTAGAAACAATAGAGCAGGTTTTAAGAATAATATCACGAAATAAACTCATAACAATAAAAGAACATCTTCAGCTATCTAACTAAAGTATATCTTTATAACTTCATAAACAAATCTTTATGATTACAAATTAACAAAACTTTCTGATAATACTAATATTTATTATCCAATCAAAGCGCATTTCTAATTAGTATAAATAGGTGGCAAAAGTTCCCCATTTAGTATTTCCGTAATAACTTTGGAACCAATCATAATTAGAAAGGAAAAAACAATACAAAAATTCTTTGAAAAGTTTATAATATTTTAGTCTTTTAAATTTTGAACGAAAATAAATAATTTTATTATTATGAGAATTTTAAATTTCCTGTTTTTTTTAGATTACACAGGTCTGCGACATAAAAATTCTTTCAAATTTAATAAGTGATTTTTATTGTATTTTCAACGCTGATTTTGAGAAAAATAGTGAAAAAAATTCCATCACGTACAGTTAATTCACAAACTGCTTGTCTAGTTTAAGCTTTTTCGATATTTTTTATAAATAGTTCAGTACTCTACTAAGTTTGAATTTTGGTTTTTAAGATATCCACAAACTGTTATTTAGCCTAAAGCACAAGTTATTTTACGGACAATGGCTACCAGAAGTTGTATAAACTCACCAGATTGCTTCTGCTATATTTGTGGTAACTATACTCAATCAACATCTTCCCTGATTGATAATATAATAACAACTGATTTATTTAACGAATCTCTTAAAAAAGGCATAATTAAAAATGACATTTCTGATCACTTCCCTGTTTTCTTTTCCATTAATACTAAAATGGAAACGTCACCAAATATAAATCAAATTTTTGTTAAACGTATTTTTAATGAAAAGAATTTGGAA